CTCGGTGCTCGGACATCGCCAGCTAGGCCGGGGACTCCTCGATGCTCGGACATCACCAGCTACGTCGTGGACTCCTCGGTGCTCGGATATCGCCATCTACGCCAGGGACTCCTCGGTGCTCGGATATCGCCAGCTACGCTAGGGACTCCTCGGTGCTCGGACATCGCCAGCTACGCCGGGGACTCCTCGGTGCTTGGATTCTTCGTGCAAGCGTCGCCAGCTACGCCGGGGACTCCCTTGATGCTTGGAACTTGCTACGTCTCATCGGTGTACTATCAAGCTGCTCATTGTTGTTCGGATTAGGGTGCTGATCTTGGGCAGCACGTCTGGGGTCTTGATACGCGCATGTCAGACAACGTCGGCAAGCTCACAGACTTCTTTTTCTTTGACCAAGCTATAAGATTCATCCTTCATCTTCCAGCAGGCTCGGGGACTAAGTGGGCACACTTCACCTTGTGGTGAATGTGTGTGTTACAATTCAGGGCTCCGCTCGTCGACTGGTTGCCTACTCGGCCAGTCTTCGGCCTTTCTTCTACTTTCTGACCCTGGCACCATGTGACTACATCACCTACTGTCAGGCTCGGGGACTAGCTGTGGTGATATGACCCCCGGTATCCACAAGACAAGACATGGGCCGAACCATCAGAGGTGGCCCAGTCCACAAGATCAAAGCGTGCACCGCAAGATATTGTATAGTACCAAATAGGTTACTTTCCTTGTAACCCTACCCATCTAGAGTATATAGGGAGAGGCAGGGGTCCCCTAGTGGACATCTACATACAGTGACATATCATCTCATATTCAATACAATACACTAAAGACAGAGGACGTAGGGTATTACGTCGATCAGACGACCCGAACCTGTCTAAATTGCTATCTCTGTCGCCTTGTGTCACCATCCGGCTCCTAATCACACGCACCTCCACCGATCAATCTACCTTCATGGGATACCTCTCGGAGGACTGCCGAGCATCTTTTATCGATAGGGGTGAATGAAACACCCTAGCCCCGTAGTTGCAAAGTTAGCCCATGTGACCCATGTGACACATATATGGTTATAGTTAGTGGTTTAGTACTATCTTAGATGTTTAGAAGTGTGAGGTCTAGCTTATAATTTATATCGTTCCAAATACAGCACCTCCGCTTAATCCTTTTTACATGAAGCAAGGACGAAACTGTAAAATAGGTGTTTTTCCTGTTTCGTGAGTGGAGCTGGGCCATATAAGCATATTTTGGACGTGTATATTACACTCAAGGTACTATCTCCAGCAGTACCTTGGCGACAAAAAAAAATCATCTGGTCCAAACAAAAGGGACACGAGGCCAGGCCCACTATTTAAATTTAAAATTGCAATAAATTTCTGTTACTTAACACATATGTGAAAGATTCAGAGGACAAATCTTCAAATAACTCACTACCAGAATCCTCAAATTTACCGAGTGTTTTTATGTTTGCTGAGTGTATTTCCTCGGGCACTCGGCAAACAATCTCTTTGCCAAGTGCTGAGCTAAAAACATTCGACAAAAAAAAACACTCGCAAACAAGGGTTTACCGAGTGTCAAAAAAACACTTGGCAAAACAAGGGGTTTGACGAGTGTTTTTTTTTCACTCGGCAAAGAAATAAAAAAATTCTGGAAAAAAAGGAGAAGAGAAAAAATGAGAAAAAACTTTGCCGAGTGTCCAGATCCAGGACACTTGGCAAAGCCCCACGCACCGACGGCCTAAAATCACACACCGGCTAAAATCACACACCCCACTCACACGGCCGCCTCTCCTGCCCCTGCCCCCACTCACGCGCCTCCTGCCTCTCCTGCTCCCCCTCTCCTCCTCCTGCCGATGGCCGGCCCCGGCCCCTCCCCTCCTTGCCCCGGGCCGCCTCGGATCCGTCCCGGATCCGCCGCCTCTCTCCTCTCGCCAGCGCCGCCCTGGATCCGCCGCCTCCCTCCTCCACGTGGCAGATGGCGCATCGGCCTCCTCCGCGTGCAGCCCCATGATGGCAGCCAGGTGGTATGACACAGATCCGGCTGGCGAGCGGCGGCGGCTAGTACGTACTCAATCAATGTTCCCTCTGCTTCGCTACATGGCTTACTGCGCTCCCAAATCGAACCCCAGATCCTCATTCCTAGCGTGATTGTGGCAACCTGCTGGAGCGAGCACCGCCTGTTTGCGCTCTCATCCGCAGCCGCATCCTTCCCACTTGCTGCGTTCGTTCTATTGCCCGCTCACGGCGTCCGTCGGCAACCTATGTTGCCCATCCGTCGCGTCCGCCAGCAAGGTTGTTGTATCCAGTTCAATGTTCGACAAGGTACACACGATCACTGCTAATCTTGCAGATGACTTGCATTAGATCTAGTGGTTTTGTTACTGAATTGGTTGTGTATGTGAAATCCGGTAGATTCATTAATGATTTGGTTGTGTATGTGAAAGGACAGCCGTCTGGTTCTTCCTGGAGTAGTATTCAGGACTGACGTTTGTGCGAACCAATTGGCAATTGCCCTTTTAATTATAGAGGTCGTGGAGCTATTAGGAGTTGATTGGACCTAAGCAGCTTTAGTCAACACGTAGAGCTGATGTCCTTCTCTGTATATGCCACTATGCGCCCAATGTTTAGTTTTTTAGATTTCAGTATCAATAATCAGCTAGAACTGCCATAGTTTTTAGTCTATTCATTTGCGACTTGTGTTTGTTTGTAAGACTTCCAAATCTTGATACATACTATTGTTACTGTCTAACCAAATTGCTTAGAAGAACTATGAGTGACCTCACCTGCTTATGTTCGGTAATGAGCATGAAACAGTTGGTCACCTATTTTTTGATTGATGCGTGGCATCTTGTGTTTAGTTTCTAAAATGATGGAAATTCATTTTACTCAGCACTTTTAATCTGTGGTGCGTTTATGGATTAGTAATGAGAAATATGCTACAACAGTGCTTATAGAACTATCAAAATCTTGTTCGTTTTCAGGGAAAGAAGGCTTATCACCGGCAGGTAATGAAGATGGACTGCTCATAGATTCTCATCCAAGAGCTTGGTAAGTGGGAAAAATTGCGATTTCTATCTGATGTTTGGCTTCATAGAGGGTTATATGCAGAGAAGAGGTAGCTTTACATCTAGAATTTGCAGTGCATGTGCCTGTAGGGGCTGAGATAGTAAGAGCCTCTTTTCAGTGCTTTGTAATTTTGCTTATCTGTACCCACTATTTAACTATGAGTTGCTAATTTTGTCTATGCCACATTCTTATGTAAATTTGTTTATTTGCTCAGAATTTACGTTTTGAAATTCCATTGATTGAGACTTTGTCAGCACATACTTATTCTTTAATCAATGGTTGTCACTTTAATTGGACCAATGCTAGCTTACAACAGCAATAGGTGTATACCCTGTATTCGGTAGAGTATATATCATAGTGTTATAAGATTTGTTTTTTTTTGCAATGTTTTAGTGACTGATACCATTTTTGTCCTGCTGCTTGTATTTCTAATTTTATGATTAGTGATTACATGATCACTGCAATTATACCCTGGATCATTAGCATTCATTATGTTGGCAAAATTAGCTACCCAGCCTATAACTCTGTACAACATGTATATCATTTCAGTGGCCTTGTTACCATTGATTTTGGACTAGCTTGCAGAAAAGCTATTTTTCTAGGCAGCTTGTAAGATATTTCTTTTCAAGTTTGGATAAGATTAAATTTTCTCTTGAGTTGTGAAGCAGGTGCACAGATAGGGTAAAGACCCGCTGTCACCGTCAAACGACTCCTCTGCCCAGCCGCCGTCGAGTGGTTTAGGAGTATATAAATTGATGTTAACTGCACATTAATCAGAGATTCTATGAGTCTTTTTGTTTTGGACCACGGGGATAGGCGCCGCTGTGCTGCACGTTAATCAGAGATTATATAAATTGATGTTAACTGCCGCTCTTACTTGTATGTTTTGTTACCCTGGTTGCTTCTGGTAGCCTGCAACATGATCTCAGCAATTCTTGTAATTTAACGTTGTTGAGCTTGTTTGCTGCCCTTTTTTTATAAGAATATTAACTTAGCCTTCCGTGCAGTTTGAATGGATGATTGCTTTCTTTATCTTTACAGCATATTCCGCATGGCAAAATTGGATGATTGCTTTCTTTATCAAGTTGAATTTGCTTGTGACTTTTTTTTTTTTTTGTACTACTCTTGAGTGGCTGTGATGAATCAAGTTTTTATTAGAGAACTTCTGCACTTTAGCACCTTATGAGCTGGTACTTGGGATATTTTGTTCTGTTTGCTGTTTAACTAGGATGGCTTGTACCAGTACAAGCAACCAGTTCTGTGGCCAGTTCAATTCCCATTAGAGAGAGAGAATTAAATTAAGCTCTAGGTGAAATTAAGTTGTAGTTGTCATACTGATAATGGGTAAATCTAAGCTATTTCTCGAGTTCTTTTGCTCTTGTTTGTAAGTAGCTCCAGGTGTACCAAGAATGTTTTGTATGACAGCTATTAAACTAAAATATACTGAGAAAAAATATTTTTTTTCTTTGGAAAATAGGTTTCCCGAGTGTAATTCCCAAAAACACTCGGCAAACAATAATGGTATATTTTTTTTCTTTGGAAAATAGGTTTGCCGAATGTAATTCCCAAAAACATTCGGCAAACAATAATCCTTTGCCGAGTGTATTTTAGAAAAACACTCGACAAACCACTTTTTTTTCGCCGAGTGTCAAAAATTTGACACTCGGCAATCCATTTGCCGAGTGCGCGATAAAAAACACTCGACAAATAACTGTTTGCCAACACTGTTGATGCCGTGTGCTGTTTGTCGAGTGTTACACTAGGCAAAGCCTTTGCCGAGTGCCTGTGGCACACGGCAAAGTCACTATTTCCGGTAGTGACTAGCATGAATCTGGTACATGGCAAAGTACCCCAGGTCTACCTGTACTGTATATGTATTCTATTTTAACATTGACAGTTTATTTTTACATGCCTCGGCCAGCTGGCGGCCAGCAAGCTACATATAGTCGATCAGTTGAGCATGCCCATCCCACGCTTACCCAGCGGAGGCTCGACGGGCGGCTGCGATCGCCCACTTGCCTCTGTCTCTACCTCCGCAAGGAACTGCTTGGTGCATACACAGGTGGCACCCTTGCAGAAACCGCCAGTGAAGTGCAATGCAACGCAAACGGGAATGCAAATCGCATTTCTGCCCCAGCAGGGAATGCAGGTTGGGGTTTCGCATGTGTCTCTATCACCAACTACAACTGCAAACACAGTGGTAAACCCTTTTTAGATTTTATAATCCAACCATTAGCTAGTGCATCGTACAAAAATATTGCAGACTTTTTTAAACTGGATTATCCTGGACACTTACGATGTGAAGTGAGGTGGAGCAGGGCCAAAGCCATGGCGGCCTCCGCAACCTTCATGCGGAACGACATGATCAAATGAAGAGGAGTGCTTCCTATCCGCTCAAGGAGGGTGTATGTGTGCTGGGAACTTATAGAAGGACGGTGGCCTGCATTGACTACGTCTGTATCCTTGATGGATATGGAGATACTATATTTTTAAATTTCCTAGATGCAAATGGATCGGAAATCCAAATATTAGATATGCTGCTCCTGCATTGGTCTATGGTTTGTTTTGGTGCATTGCTCCACTTTATTTAGAATAATTGAGTTATCACCTATCCATTTCTATCCATCTATATATATATATATATATCTCGTTTCCAAATAATGGATGGGATCTGGTTTTATACCTCATCAAAAACAAGAGACTTGGGTCCATAGTTATCTATCTATCTATACTAACACTAATCTAGCTAGGTATCTAGGTATCTAGATTTTATATTAAAAAAAGCTAGGTATCTAGATGTACCAATTCTAATCAATTCATCTATCTATTCAACCATCCATCAATCCATGCATCCATCTTTCCATATATTTTGTATCAATACCAATTGCAAAAAAAAATCTTCTGAAGTCATCATATATCAATTAGAAAGATATAGCCATCAATCTAGTGGAACAACATATATTAGAGCAAGTACAATAATAATCTTATACCCAAGCAAGTTATCATTTTTGATGATGTATATGAGAGAGGGAGGAGAAAGAAGAGTGTGGCTCTCATGTAAGCAATAAGCTGGACTCGGGTGCTTATGAAATTGTGGGCCCAAATAGGAAATGAATGTGATGAGAATGTAGAATATAGCTATAATATAGCATCATATAATAATAAAAAAACTTTTGGATAGACAAATAACAGACAACTATTGTATAGCTTGGCTCATACAAAATACATAGACGTCATAGATGATCATTAGAGACGCATGATAGGTGACAAGCATTTTCATCACGTTAACGTTGCAAATATTAACATAAATTCTAGTTATTATGTCATAAATGCAACAACATAGAATGCACATCTCTTGTAGTGTTAAATACAAGATTTGGTGAAGTTAATACAGAAGGGTAGGTTCTTTCACTTAGTTATAAAGTGTCTATCTTATGGTAAAAAATAAAGTGTCTGTCTCGTGGAGCGGTGTGCGAGTCAAGAGGATCTAAGTGGTAATCTAAGGAACCACATGACCTAGTAGGCCCTATAGGAATCACATTCTAAGACTGGTCCTCCTCTACTAATCCATTCTTATCCTAAGTAACAATGCTCTTTGTAGTAGTGAACCGAATGAAAATTTAAACCAGTGGCACATACTCCCTCCATCCTAAAATACAGGGGATTCAGAGTTCAAAATTTGTATCAAAATACAAGGTATTTGTAACACCCCAAAGTTTTGCACTTTTAGAAATAGAGTAAAAATGATTTATTTTGTATTTTTGTGCTCATGAAATATAGGCAAACTAATATTTTTCTCTAAATTAAAATGTATCATAGGCTTAGCAACATGGTTGTGCATACATGCTAGTGCATATATTTTTATTGTGATGTAAGCGTGTTGTGTGACTTCATGTTGAGAGTGAGCAAAGTTTTCAAAACGTGTTTGGTAAATCGACCTTCCTTCTCTGGTATGTCTGCGTTTTTTTTTCTGTCTTCGAAATTGTCTCGGCTCGCTAATCCATCTCCTATCAATTCTATTTTTATGCTCCTTGTATTTCTTTCCTTAATGTAATGGTATAATATAATATAAAAAAATAAACTTTTAAGGAAGCACCCATCCTTTTGTCTTTCTTAGCTGGATGATGGTTTTTCTTGTAGCCGACTAGTTCTTTTTCTTGGATCATCCGATGACTAGTTGTAAGTCGTACCATCAAGGACTCTCACGACGTTTCTCATATGCCATCTTTATTCTATATAAATAGCAGGCCTGTGTCATCGTTTCTTTTCTAAAATCCCAAACCTAAGCCAATCAATCCTGATCTAGCTGCCGCCCATCATCTTCATCTGCCGCCGCCGCTTCGTCGTCGCCCCGGGCTATCTACCGAGCTTCGCGTCGTGCCTCACCGAGCCGCTGCTGGAGCTGGACGCTTCCTTGTCGTCGAGTTCTTCGTTTTGCTTTTCATCTGGAGAACCCATGCAAGAAGTCGCCGTCATCCCTCCGAGCACCACGCCATCGTTGTTCGTTCCAGATCGTCAAAATTCCTTGTGGTGAGTTCGCCGAAATGCCTGTGCCTGCTCCATCCCTGTGTTTTTTTAACGCAGCAATCTAAGGCTTGTATCATCGAGGCTCCATCACCCAACGCATGGCAGCACCGTGCATGCTCGGCATGTTCGTAGCTGATCCGATTAGCTTGATGACATCAATCGATGACATCATGTATGTTTTGTGGCCGTTTTTCATTACGAGAATAAATCTAAATACTATAGAAATACACATAAATATAAACACTCATCGTGAGACGTCCATTCTAGTAGCTTAGCTTTGAGCCGACGTGGTCTACGTGTCGATGTTTATGTGCCACATGCTTTTGTAATATATTTATTTAAATATTAAATTGGTTAATGATTATGCAAACATATTTCTAAATAAAAGCAATTTAGGGCGAGGTCGATCATTTTATATTTAACTGTTAACTTGATTAAAGTCAAATTAAATGTGTTTCAGTATATTATGCCTATGCTAAACATGGACATATCATATTCGTTTGGATATTTTCACGACCACTTTTTCGCTAAGTTAAAGTTTAATAATTTGATCTTCCATAATTAAAATATAATTAATTATACTTTAGTTTTCTTTATTCAAATATAAATTTGACTTATCGAATATGTACTTTGACTCGCTGAAAATTCTTCTAAAGTTAGCATGTTCACGCCGTAGCTTTTCGGCTTGTTCTTCCGTATATAGTTAAATACCAAATTGATTAAATGATATTAGTTATATAATTAAAAACAATATAGGTTATTATATGACGTTTCTTTTACAAATAAATATTGATTAGATTAATGGCAACTTCAATATATTTTACAATCGTAAATTTCTTAAAGCTAAACGTGGTCAGATAAAACTAATTTAGATGTCCTCACGCATTTGTTTTACAAAGATAAAGTTTAACTTGCTCAATAGATTATGTGATAAAATATATAAGGTAAGATATAATTAGATAACTCGTCTTTGAGAATTATAAGACATAATTGGACTAATCTGGATTATTAGGTTCCTCATGGTTTTTGTAATTAAAATAAATCAAGCATGTAGAGGTTTTTCTTTTGTTTGATACTAAAATAAAACTCTGGAAGTCATTTCTTTTGACGATAGTTGTGTAACTGGTGTTTCTTGTGATCTAGTGACCGTAGCATTTAGTTATCTTTTAGTACGATGTTTTCTTTCGTGTGATGTATTGTTTTTAGTTGTCTGTATTTGTTTGCTTGTATGTTTGTCTATGTGTGGTGCTTGCTTCGAGTAGAACAAGAACACTGGAGATCAGAATCTGAAGTGCCGAAGCTGTAGAATGGAAGATGAAGTTGATGCTTCTCTAAGCAAGTTGCTATGGGAGTAAAGCAAGTTTAAGACAAGTATAGCACGGGATCATCCTTGATGTCCTATTCACTTTAACCACTAAATTTCATATGCATGTGTCCACCTTGATACCCTTTATAGGATTCCCTAGAAATTGTTTACTGAATACCTTGAAACCTCGGGATATATGCATTTGGGTATTACATTTGCTAGCGCTTAACATTGACCATGATCTTGATACTTGATTAATAATTGAGCTATAAACTATAAAAGATGACTTGTTAGCAACAACAAGAGGGTTAAATTCTACTCCAAGGCCTCATTTGTAAGTGATCGTCCGGGACTTACAACTCAATTGTGAGGGCTATATGGCTCTGGTTTTAGCTCAAGATGAGGTCTTTTTCTAGAAGCCGCTTAGAGGATATCATGAAGTTGGGTATAGGACAACCTCTCCCTATTGAGCCTAGCTATGGAAGCGGCCTTTTATTTTTTTTTTTGGAAGGGGGTTCCTATATCCGATGACCTCAATGGCCCTTCCCGGTTAAGACGGAACCTTTGAAAGGCTTCAGTGAACCCCGCCGCCTTCCTTGGTAGAGGGTTAAGAGGCTCACGACCTCATTAAAGGCAATTCACGACTCACAAGAAAGTGTACACCTCTATGCAGAGTTTAATCAATCGATATATCAGGTGCTCACGGTCACGTAACAGCCAAAAAATTCTTAAGCACTTGTTTAATTATGCTTAACACTTGTTTTGAGCTATTTATTATTCATGTTCATTGATCATGTGTTAAGGGAATATTGTGCTACCTTGTTACTAATTAATACTACATATGACTATCTACTTAAAAGCTAAATGCAGTTTAACCAGTGTCAGTCTTTTGAGCCTCATAAACCCCGTGTTATATATGCTGAGTTCGATATGGACTCACCCTTGCAATTTCCCCCACACGTCAGGCTGGATGACAGTCTGTCAGAGACTTGAGATGTTAGGCTTGTGATCAACCAGTCAGTTGGATCCAGTGGAGTGAAGTCTGCACCCGGAGATCAGAGTTGTCTATCCATTGATTGATTGCTTTCTAAGGTTATCTCTTTTGCTAAGTTCGCTATATATTAAGCATTGTGAATTGATACTGCCCCTTCATTTGTAGCTATATGTGAGGTTTGATTACCAGGACTCACATATGGTGTGCATTCGGCTTTGTCCTTAAAACCGGGTGTTACAGTATTCTAGGTCCTTAAACACCCCACCTCTCTCTCTCTCTTCTACCTTTACAGCAGGTGGTATGGAGATCACTTTCAAATTTGGCATCAACCAAAATAGATCGCGAGTAACTATAAGGAAAGTAACAACTGAACTACTCAGTCCATGGTGGTCTTTTGTCAGACTTATTTATTTTGTCTGAAAATCACTTGAATACCATGCATTTCAAGACAAAGAGATTAGTAGAAATGAAATGTCTTCATGCCATATAAGGGAGCGCTATAA